AACCTTTCTACCTGTTCAAACGAAAGCTGAACTTTGTTCATTGGGACACATAGACAAGTGATGTTTATGGAACTGTATTTATGGAACAGCTTAGTTCTGGCATTTTACAAAGTATTTTTGAGAAAAAAAATCAAAGCATGTTTTTTTTATTACAGATTAAAATGGTCCTTCAAAAGAACTACTTTTCTTTCATCACTAATTAACATTAGCTTTGTATTAACACATCTGTAGCATGTGACATGCTCAGGTCTGTCATATTTTCTCTCTAAATCTAAATTTCAGTTGGGTTGCTGAAAGTAAAATTCAGTCCCACTCCAGAATGGAGCCCCCCAGATTATCACAAGTCACTTTTTTTGTCTCTCCAAGTGAATAAGAAATTGTATATACAGGTAGTCCTCGATTTACGACCACAATTGGGCCCCAAATTTATACTGCTGAGAAATTTGTTAAACGAGTTTTGCCACATTATATGACTTCTCTTGTCATGTGTATTAATTAAATCACTGCAGTTGTTAAATTAGTAGCACTGTTGTTAAGTGAATCTGGCTTCCCAATTGACTTTGCTTGACAGAAAGTCGCAAAAGAGGATCACATGACCTTAGGACATTGCAGCCATCATAAATGTGAGTCAGCTGTCAAGCATCTGAATATAAATCACATGACCATGGGGATGCCATGATGGTCATAAGTGTGAAAAATAGTCATGTCACTTTTTCAGTGCCGTTGCAACTTTGAATGTCATTAAATTTACTGTTGAAAGTTGAGGACTATCTGTAGCAAATTATCATTATGAATGAATATGTGCCATTAAATCATTTATGTGGTCATCCTAATGATCACATAGTGTGGGCCTGCACCCACACTAGACCTTCTAGGGCCTTCACCACCTGAGGCACCTTGTGCTCTGCTCAATGACCCACAATGAGAAGAGCAGAAATTGTGGTCATTAAACATGGCGATCACATGGATACCTTACTTAATAACAGCCATGACATATGACTGTAATGGGCAGGCTCCATCAGAGTTGTAAGTCGAGGACTACCTGTATAATCAACTACTACACAGATTTGATTCTTTTTCCCTAAGTGAAGAAGTTTGCCCTTGTCATTATTGTTCCATTACTTTCTGCCCATTTCTCCAAATTATCGGATTTTTTTGAAATATTATTCATCTCTTCTAGGGTAAGAACCCCAGTCCATGGCCCCAGACTGGGGCTCTGCCTGTTTGGAACCGGGCCATGCAAGTGGCAGGCGAGCACACAAACACACACACACAGCTCCACTTGGATTAGGGTCTCCTGCTTGAGCAGGAGGTTGACGAGAAGACTCCATGGTCCCTTTGAACCCTGTTATTCTGTTGTTGGCTGGAATGCTGAGATTTGCTCACCATTTATACAGTACGTGAAGAGGAGTCTGGGAGCAGCTTTTTTGTCTAACCCGCGGTACCCAACCTTTCTGGATTGGCAGCCCAACTGGGGGGAGGGAGAAGGAATGGCTTTGTATGAGTGGCAACCTCATGCGCATAGAATTGTGAGCGCTTGTGCGTGCACCTGCTACTCACACAAACCCATCCCGTCTCCTTCCCCCAGCCAGGCCGCCAAGCAGGAAAGGTTGGGGACCACTGTTTTATACAATTTGCAGATTTAATAAACTTTTCTTCTATTTTCTCAATCAAACAGCGGATCAGGCACGAGGAGTATGCTGTGGGTTCCATCTCCAAACGAGCTCCAGAGCCATGACTTTTGTGCTGTGGCCTCCACTCTCTGGAACATCGTTCACCCTGAGTTGAGGTTCTTCAGGAAGGTCCTTGAAAAATGCTTTTTTTTCACCAGCCTTGGGGATCCCAGGGTGCAAAGCAGCTGTATGAGAATAAGTGATGTTTGTTCTCCTGGTTTCTTGGGTTTTACCTCTTTGTTTTATTTATTTTGTGTGATTACTTTATGTTTATTTTATTTAGTTTTGTTGTTTTAGATTCTTTTGACGTGTTTAACTGCTGTTGTGTTGTATCCAGCCCAGAAGTATGTGTTTGTGAGAAGGGTGGCTATATAAATATGGTAAATAAATAAATAAATAAATAAATAAATAAATAAATAAATAAATAAATAAATAAATAAATAAATATTGTGAAGTAGGTTGCCTAAAATATTTTTATGGCACCTCACCCACTATCTTTTTCCAATTTGGCAAGGAGCCATTGATGACCTGCAATCTATGTATGATTTTCAAACCGTACTGTTAAGCAACCACCTGATTGCTGCACTATCCAGCATGTTTGATCTAAAAAAGCTAAAATTAATCTGCCACTATTTGTTCTCAACAAATCACTGCCGACTCCTGATAATTATGGCACTGTTTTTGATCCATCTCTTGATGATTGGTTCTAAATTACTGATCTAACTCTTGATGAGTTTTAGAATCTTCCCAAGTATCAAAGTCAAGTATAGTTTGCTATATCTTCTTTTGACCCCTTGTAAAAGTCATTTGGCACCATTCCTTCTCCAAAAATTCTCAAATATAATAGATAAGAGTTCAGCCAAAGCATCCAGCTACTTTCTTTAATACTCTAGGTTACAATTAATCTAGTCCTAAAGATTTAAACTCAAAGGGATTTTTTAATAATGTTGTCATCAGTCTCCAAATACAAACCTGCCCTTTCATCCTGCTCTTCCTAAGTAGAACTCATAGTTTTGTTGAAGGCTGAACTAAAACAGGAGTTAAATAGCTCTGCCCTTTCTTTGCTACTTAATAGCATTTTGTCTTCTTCATTGGGCAGCTGATTTATTTTGAACAGATTTTAAGAAGCCCTGCTTCCTTTTTAGCATCCTTTGCTAATTTCAGCTAATTTTGAACGTTGGCTTTCCAGTTATCAGCACTACAGTTCTGGGCTACCTGTTCTTCCTTTACGATCTGGCTCTTTCATTTTTCTGTATTCTTCTGTCCCACTGCTTTCGGAAAACGTAGTTTTCATAATCACGCCTAGGATCGGCGTGTTAGAAATTATAAGTAGTTTAGGAAATGATTTCATTACATGTAGGACAATAATTAAAAGTATCTTATATATAAGAATGTAAAAAGAATGTATGTTAATATCTGATAAACATCACAGTATATGTATGGGGGAGAGTTTGGAAAAATAAAAAATAAATTAAAAAAAAAAAAGCACTACAGTTCTGGGCTACCTGTTCTTCCTTTACGATCTGGCTCTTTCATTTTTCTGTATTCTTCTGTCCCACTGCTTTCGGAAAACGTAGGATTGGCGTGTTAGAAATTATAAGTAGTTTAGGAAATGATTTCATTACACGTAGGACAATGATTTCTGTGACTAATATATCCAGGGGAAAATCCTCTGCCTTCCCAAATGTTATGACCCCAAGGCGGGAGATGGGGCAACACAAAGGCAACATAATTCTTCGCCCTGCATTACCATTTCCTACCAATCCACTTACTGATGGGGCAAACGCGTTCCCCAAGCAGGACCCAATCAGCCCATTTCTTGCAAACTTTCCCTTTCCCTCCCTCGAAGAAACTTTCCCGCACCTTCCTTTAAAAAAACACACACACACACACAAACCCAACTGCTCTGTTAAACTATAACCCCATCCTTTTCTAGCCACTTTAGTAAAAAGCCCGCTTTCTCTTTTTTGTAAGGTTTTTTTCCTTTCCAGCCTAGGTTCTAGGGTTGCCAGGTGTCCACTATTTGAGTGGACAGTCCACTTTTTTCACATTATGTTCACTATTTTTTTTTCACAAAATAGTGGACATTTTTTTTTATTCAAAAGCTCTATGATGAAATGGTACGTAATCTAAAGCTGTACAGTCTACTTTTTTTTACTACTTAACCCCCCACCACCACCGCTTGTCCGCTATTTTTTTGGAAGCAGACCTGGCAACCCTACAGTAGGTTCGGGGGGGGGAAAATAATAATAATAATAATAATAATAATAATAAATAAGGAGCTGCCACAAAGTTCAGCGCCTGCAGATCTGAGGCGGCTCTTTCTGTTCCCACCGCGGCGTCCAAATCTGAGGGAAGGTCCTGAATCTGGCTTAAAAGCGCAGGCAGCATCTTTTCTCTTTCGCATGGGGCGTTTTACCCAGGCACCCTTCCTCCCCGTTCCTTGTCCTGCTGCTCGCCTTTCGCGAGGGAAAAAGCCGCCAACGGCGGGAGCGCCAGATCGCCGAGAGCTGGCTGGCTGGCCGGCAACAAGTGCCTCCCTCCCGCAGGGTCGGCAAGCAGCGCGCGAGAGCCCCCCC